TATGTAAATGCTCCTTTTAAAAAATGGTGGATTTTTACGCATAGCATAGCTTATTTATTTATGTAATCTATTGTCTAATTTTTTATATTTCTTTTTATAACATTTTAGTATTATAAATTACATCAAAACGTTTGCAGAAAAAAAAGTGCAGCCTTTTTTTAGATGAGTTAATATTAATAGTATTAATAGATCCAATACAGACAAATAAACATGCATTGTGTATGAATTAAATTTATAGAAAAAAGTTTATCCGTGAGTCACATCTAAGAAATAGAGCATAAAGAGAGAGACAGAGGAGTGAACAGTCATAACTAGTAATGGATTGTGTCGTATTCATTGAATTACCTCCTTGTTTACAGGGGAAATAGTACAATTTGATGATAATATATTTTTGTCCTTGCTTTAAAGAATTTTGTATTTCTCTTATTTTATATGGATAAGCCTATCATTTGGCTGATTTTTGGGTCTGCTAGCGAAGCTTGATTCATCTCGTGTCGGCATGATCCGCTTGATTGGCTGAGATCCACTTGGCCAGATGGGATCAGCTTGGTCAGCTGAGGTTAGTTGTTATGGGTTGGCCAGTTGATTTGATCAGACTATCAATCATTGACCTCTAATGAAAGGCCTCTAGATGTTCTTGGATAGTTGAAGATGTATTTAACTCTTCCATAATGATTGATTTGAATGTTTTTTTGTCTCACTGGAAATTTCGGACTCGAATCATTTGGTCATCTTTTTCTTCTCCTTTGGCTTGGATAGTTTTACTTAATAAGACAAGTGGGCTTTACTAACTTCTATCGGCGAGCCCCACCTTCATCATATTTTTTTTTTCCCTTGATTTTTCTACTTGTGGCAGCCATTAAATGTTTTCATAAGTCAATTTATAATATTTACAGTTTGGATAATTCCCACAAGACTAATCATCCCCCATAACGTAATACAAACTTATGTGATATACTTTAAGAATCATTATTCTTTAGTAATGTTACATTTTATATCTCTCTTTTCTCCTAACACTTTCATATCGAATTGATCAACAAATCTCGTTTAATTCTTCAACATACGTTACTCTCAGCGCCACTCTAGCATACAATTTCTTGTCTTAGCATTCTAATTTTTACCTCATTCAGCTTAGTTATTGAAACCCCTCTAATAAATTTTCATCATTTTACGTGACTCTCGAGATATAGCACGGATCTCAAGATAATTTTTTTAACAAAAAAAAAAATTCAAAGTTCAATTAAAATTCATCTAGAACTTCGAGTTCAACAAACTTACATTTAAACTGACCAGCTCGATGGAACATATCCAAAGGTGTCAAAATCGGTCCAGTAAGAGTCAAAGCAAGCCTGGATCTAGATGTTAAACTGCATTTGTAAGCTTTTTAGATATAATTGGAAGATCAAATAGATTATGAATACGACAAGTTTATAGTCAAATCATGTGCATCAATAAGAAGAATCCAACAAGCTCAATATCGTTCGATTCCAACTTCATCAAAGCACTAATATATTCATTGAACACCATCTGATCAAAGGGATCTCCCAAGGTCATTCGATCAAAAGTGGTATGAATTTCTTTCTTATTTGTAACATGAATTTTATAAACAGAGCCCTGTTAGCTCCTAAGATGTGAAGCTAGAGTTTAAAGTCTTAAGAAGACTAAAGCTTGGAGAAGAAATTAAAATACAACATCACTTCTGCAGCAATTATCTAGAGGTTGCCTCCTGCTCCTACAGTCGCCGACCGCCACCAACTACCACCACTCACCGATCGTCGTCGATCACCATCAATTGCTGCCCACTCATTATCATAAAGCACAGTACGGAGCAAACTTATGAGACAACATATCATCCCGGATGTTGTGTCGACCTAAAAAATGGTGCATTGAAGCCTTGACTATTACTCCTCTTTATGATCGTTCCATTTCGCAGGGCCACGAGTTTTCCCGCATATCGACGTTGTAACTTGAGAGACCATGTAACTCTTTCACGCCTGTGAGAGGAGTTGTACCTGTTATCACCAACTTATTGTGAAATATTTCAGTTGGTTAAGACCTTGTGGTCTTTCCCCTTTATAGGTTCTCTGCGTAAAATATTCTGGTGTTTTCAACCCGTCATTCTACTACATGAGAGCGTGCTAAGTTCTCGTGTAATGCTAATCTATTAGTTTATCAACACCAACGTGAATTCTTTTGCACATATCAGTTACCAGTGACTTCTTAGATGCCCAATAATTAAATCCACATGACGTTTGCAAGCTAATTTTAACTTCATAAATTTTTAATTTGGATGCTAAGCATCCATCTATATCACAATTCTCTAAACTAACAAAATCCAATGTTCTATATCCTATCATATAGAGAAAATTAATATTTTCTTAATTTTATTTTTCTACTGCTAATCTAAATATCTTATATCATTAAAAAAAACATTTTGATTATGGCAAAATTTATTATAAATATTTAATAATAAACAAAAAAAATAAATTTATATACTAATTTGATAAACAATTAAAGAATTATATTGCTTCTGAAATTACTAAATCAACTTTAAAATTTAGATAATATGAAAAATTAATTAAATATTTATTAATTTGATTTAGTATGAGAAAAATATGTATTTTAAAATTTATTTATTTTGAATGGTTGCTATTCTTCAAACTATAAGAGACATTGATAAAGTCTACATAAATCTCTCTTTAGTAAATTGTAATCTATAAATAGTAAATGAATTAGTGATTCACAAGCCATAACAAAAATTACTTTTTTTTTTCAAAATCATACATTTTAATATATTTATTTATAATTGAACCATTTACACATCTACCACATAATTGTAAACCTTCCTCCAAGTTCTAAAAATTCAAAAGAATAATTAAAGTGAGGGGCATTTACAGACATACCAACCAATTCTTATGTATTTACAAATCTAACCCCTAAATTTTGATTTTTATATTTATACCACCCAAATCTTTTATATGAGATAAAAAACATCATTTAAGTGAAATACATATTTTCATGCTTAG